ACTACCCAATCAACAAACTATTCCATTTTTTTTCTCCTGCATATCATTCTGTTCCTCGTTCTCCTTGACGTCTACCATCTATCATTCTGCATCTTTTCCTTCATCCTTCTTCCTCTCCTCTGCTCTCATTGCTACTAACCATTTGAAATATGAGACTAGCGCCCTGTCTTAATAGGTCCGTTTCACCATGTGGCTGCAAATGTGTTCTACTTTGAAAGGAGTTTTATCGATCAACACACTAGTTGCCCAGGTGTATCACCTTATCATTCTATATATTAGGTGGACGACATTGGGCTAAGCATCAACACGTAGACCTGCGCATCCACGTGCATTGAAGCACAAGCCCCTAATGACGTGAAGAAAAGTCATGCAACGTTGTTTACTTGGATATCACTGTGTGGTGGAAGAAGGAAGATAGGAAGGAATATTTGGATGAATAAAGTGATGAGTGGAGGCAGAAAAGTGGGTATCAAGTTAATAAGATTTTCCGACATGAAGAGGAGCTAATGAGCCACTAATAATTGACAGACTGACCACAGAAAGACTACAGACCGAAGGCATGGGGTCCATTTTTAAACTAGAGCAAACTTGGTGCACAAAGCCAGCGATCGCTTGCTACTGAAAAATTATTGTTACCTTAGGTGGTCGGTCGGGCTAACAAGTCTATTTGCTAACTTACTTCCACAAGTCAGTTTTTTTTTGTTATCAGTCTTACAAGTGAGCTAGGGGTCTTTGTCCACGCATCCAGTGCTCTAATGCCTGATAGAATCCCAAATCCTTTATGTTCTGGATTGTAAACAAGTAATTCTCCTATGGACTATGAGCGTTTGACATTGCTGTTAATCATTCGCCTAGTCTCCACCTCCATAAGATGTACTATAAATATTGGGACTATTGGCATAAATGGAAGCACGCATTATGGATGCTCACACCTGCGTGAAATCGATGTTCTGTGCTTGATGTTAGCTAGGCGTCTGATCGTTAACCCATGGGTTATCGCTTGGCATTGTCCTGTTACGCAGTCTTTCCCGCTTAATCAGTCCATGTGGTTTCTGCATACTTGCATGCCCGTCTGTCAATCTGTTTGGAGGAGCAACGACGGTGTGCTATGGAATTCGCATTTTCATATCAGCCGCGAATGTTCATGACAATGCGTCGCATTAATAATATCAGTTGCCCTGAAAAGATCAAAGTTGGTCAAGCAGGCTGGCGCATTCAGTTATCACCATGCTTGTCTGAACAACTTTGTGCCAAGCGGTGACTAGGCCAGTCAAGTGGATCTTTTGGACTACATCCAAGTGAGCCTTTTCAATCCCATTGTCCAACTATTTGAATACACATCTCTGAGACTGAGCAGCGTTCGAGCATCCTCATTCATGGATACTTCTTTTTCGCTGGCATCCTAGGAGCTAAACGGACAGTTCGTATCAACTCTGGAAAATCGCCAGTTTTTGCTTATGTGAATTTGTGTGAATGTGGGCATTCACATGTTTACGTATGTGTACAGTGATGTCTTATTGTCACTTTTTCGGAGTAGTTTGATCAAACATATTTGCACTTCGAATGTATGCGAAAAAGATAGGAAAGATTGGTATGCTGGATGAATATGAGGTTGACAAAAGCGAGGACGGTACCAGTCAGTAGTATGCAAGGAGATGATCCAACCACACATCAAACAGTCTGTATGACTAACGGAAGAATCCTCATCGTTAAAAGCCTCAAATTAGTCTCTGCGACTTCCCTAGATTATTTAGTAGGCTACCTCTCCTCTTACCTTACCATCAAGAGTGAGACCTCCAATTCTTTGATATGCATTGATTAACAATCCGATTAATCTCAATTGCTCCCATTAAAATCCAATATTTGCAGATAATTCTACCGTAAAGCTAAAATTGTATCGTACAAAGACTGAGGGCAATAACACAAATGCAATAATAAGAAAATTTTTGACAAGTTTGTCAACATTCCAAGGAGAGGTTATGAGGGATGAGATGTGCACCACCTGCAAAGATAAACAGAAGCTGGAGGAGAATATTAAGGATAAACTAAAATGCAGGAAGGACTATAACGCGGAATATTGCGACGAGTAACAGAAGACGTTGCACAGAGTTGGCGATCATGCCTTGTGATTGGGATCCTCCCCTTTGGCGGTGCGAAAATCAATGAGTGGCATGTGTCGTGTCTGATACCCAAAATTTGGCACCTGAATTCATTTGCCTTTGAGCCTATCTACTTGGCTGAATATATGGCAGCAGAGTTCATGACGGAGAGAACAACTTTTAGTATCTATTGATTAAGATGAGGAAATGCGTTGACTTGTTACTCAAGCTCTTTACTCTGCGTGACTTTGACTTTGTGCATATCCCCTCATGACAGCTGTTAGTAGAGCCGCTTTGGGTAATTCAGCTACTGTCTACATTAAGACTTTTAATTTTGCGGTGACCCTGAAGTATCCTAATGACTTTAGGAGTTGAGAGGCACAAAGGAGCAGTAGAGGACTTGGCATACAACGGTGGTTCAACGGCTGATACAACATTTTTTCTGATTTGCAAAGGTATTACCTACGATAGGGGTGACATAGACGCGAAGGTGAGTATGCACGGGGACAAGAGTGGAGCCGCAGCAGTGGCAGGTTTTTACTGGACCTTGAGTCCACTCAAACCGAAGGGTCTTTCGGTACATGGAACCTATTTCATCAGCTGCAGTGCAAAATTTGCTCTCGCTTTTGCGAGTTTTTTTCTATATCATTTTTTGGTCACCATGATATTTGTCGTTTGTCACTTTTCTCCATCGAGCAACTATTAGTCAACTGTTGATCCAGAGTCACCACTGATTTTGCTCAGAACATGACTGCATATTCAGAGAGGGCAACTCTGTACCTATGTGCGGTTTTTTTAAAAAGTAACTGGATGCGTAACTGCGCAAAGGCAACTGTAGGGAATGCTAATTTTTGTCCCTTGGATGTCCCTTATGCGACAAATTAGTATTTTTAAAACTGCACACGGCAAGAAATAAAGTAGTCAGTATTAGCAACAGTGCACATTAGGGGAAGGTGGCTGTGTGTGCTGGAATCGCTCGATTGACTGCACTTCTAAATTGATATATTTTTGTTTCCTGGTACTTGATTTTCAAATCGTCTTCTTTTCATTAATCTTATCCGACAAACTAATTAAATTGGAGACATGAATGGGATTGTTGGACCTACTTGATGGGGTTCACATGAGAAATGCCTATTAGTTTTTGGTACCTTGTATTACAAGGTATCATAATCATATTGGGCAATGCCACATCATCTCTCATATTGCGTTAATAACTAAAATGTTATACTGATTGTGCCAATGACAATTCTATCCACTTCCCTTTGAAACGTAATCTGTGGTCGCGGAAGCCATGAGCGCTGGCGTTGGAAGGGTCTGTAATAGAATTGATTATGAATAATCTGTTGTTTTTCATAGTGAGGTAGGTTAGGGGACAGACGTTATAGTACATTGGTCTATACGCCTAGACGGTGACTACATTGTGAGGTCACCTCAACATCACCACTGGAGCCCTAGTAGTCAGCCACATTTAGAATGATCACCGCAGTGAACGCCGATGGAGCCCCAAGACCTATTGCAAATCGGCACAAATGGAAGTCATCGTCG